CCTTAAACCCCTAAAACCCTCAACCCCAAAACCCTAAAATCCCAAAGCCCCAAGGCCTCAACCCTAGGACCCCCACAAACCCTAAGCCCAGGGAGAGACGAGGGTCTGTACACCCGGCCAGGGCCAGAAGCCCTTCGAAGACGGTCACCGTCCGCTCGGAGTCGATCCTCGCATGGTAGCCGAGGACCTGACTTTCATGGGCTTCGGGTTTAGGGTTTAAGGTTTAGGGTTTAGGGTCTAGGGTTTAGGGTTGGTATAGGGTTTAGGGTTTCGGGTTCAGGGTTCAGGGTTTCGGGTTTAGGGGTTTAGGGCTTAGGGGTTAGGTTTTAGGGTGTAGGGGTTAGGTTTTAGGGTTTAGGGTTTCGGGTTTAGGGTTTATAGGGTTTAGAGGGTTTTTAGGGTTTTTAGAGTTTTTGGGGTTTTTAGGGTTCAGGGTCAGGGTTCAGGGTTTAGGGTTTAAGGGTTAAGGGTTTAGGGTTTAGGGTTAAGGTTCAGGGTTTACCTCAGAGTTCATTGCTGTGAAGAAATCTTGAGCACCCACACTATGGAGCCCTAACCCAGACAACGTAAACCTCATGGTCGGGAACAGCCCATAACAATCCAGACCTTGAAATCGACGAGACCAGACGCCCGAACGAACCCTCTGGAACCTGTCGTACCCAAGGTCTAAGAAACTACAAAAAGGAGTGCAACAACGACCAAGCACCAGATAGAAATTAGAGCTCTAGGTCTGGGGTTTAGCGTCAAAGTTCAGAAACCGCGCCCTAAACCCTACACCCTACACCCATCCAAAACTGTAGGGGTACCCTGGAGCCCACCTCCTGGGTCAAGGTGGAATATAGACCAGACATAGTGGATCAAAAAGGGGCCCGAAGCTTAACTATAGGACAACCGACAATGTTTGGAATAACATAAGACAGTGGAACATACAATAAGATGAAATTCAATAAATAAGATCAGATAAGGTAAGATAATATCAGGCAAGATGAGATAATCTACAAAAATGAGATGAGATGGGCTAACGTAAGGTAGGGTAAGATAACACAACGACAAAAGACAGCAGATGAGGTAATGATGTACTACAAAGGCACCGATAAAACGAGACAACATGATGTGATTGTGTATTATGTATGTACGTATGTATATGGATAAGGAGAGACAAGCTCATATCTTAAAAGAAACGGAAAGATAAGACAAGATGAGATGATAAGACAATGCAAGACTAGATAAGATAAGACAAGATGAGATAGAATGCGACAATAACATGCAACAAATGACAATATCAAGAACAGCGAAATATTATGTCATACCATGTAACTGCCATGATACATTGCGAAATACAAATCAGGTAAGAATGACAACACAAATTAGACCAGACAAGATCCGAACGCAAAACAAACACAACCCGACGTCAGACAAGATTTGGTAGGACTTTACAGTACCTGTTGGAATCTCTCCCCTAAACCCCCAAACCCTAAGCCCTAAACCCTACATCCTAAACCCTAGACCCTAAACCCTAAACTCGAACCCCAGGCCTCCTGGATCAAGATGGCCGCTATCGTCGAGCCCAGCTCTGCAGAGGCCCAGTCATAGACCAGCAGTTGAACAGGACTGCTGCCACTGTCCAATTCAAGGAACTTCCTAGGGCATTCAAGGAACTTCCTAGGGCTTTCTGGGCCAATTCAGGGAACTTCCAAAGGCTTTTTGGCCAATTCAAGGAACTTCCTGGGTGTGTGGCGGGGTTTGGGCGAACCCAAACTCCAAAGCCTCCCCACTCAACCCTCTGTTCTAGGTTGAGGGTTTAAAGTTTAGGGTTTAGGGTTTTGGGTTTTGGGTTCTGGTAGTTCGTGCCTCATTGCGGAGCCACGGCAAGCCAAGGAACCCTAAACCCTAAGCGCGGCCCGGCCAAGCTTTCCCCAAAAAAAAGCCGATCCAGCCCAGACCATGGTTTCAGAAACCCGAAACCCCAAACCCGAACCCTTTACGGGTTTAGGGTTTAGGGTTTAGGGGTTTAGGGTTTAGGGCGTTTAGGCTTTAGGGCGTTTAGGCTTTAGGGTTTAGGGGTTTAGGGTTCAGGGCTTTCCCAACCGGAATCCCCAAGCCCTGCTCCCGCTTGGCGTTACTACCAGCCCAAGCCGAAGCAAGCTAGTCTATGGCTGCCTTCCTCGGGGTTCTGGACTTAGGCTTCGAGGTTCGGGGTTTAGGGTTTGGGGTTTGGTGTTGAGGGTTTTGGGTTTTGGGTTTGGGGTGTAGGGTTCAGGGCTTAGGGTTTAGGGTTTGGGGTATCTTGTTGAGGGTTTTGGGTTTATGGTTAGGATTGCCCTAGGTCCCGGAACCGTAAACCCTAAAGCCTGAATTTCACCCTGAGCACGGATGCCGAAATGCTGAATCCTCAACCCTAAACTTACACATAAATCATCATAAATCCCCACAACTGAGCCCTAACACACAAAAAAACCCTACTGCCTAAAAACCTAAACCCCATCAGTACAAGTAGCCGACTGGATTCCGGAACGGCTTCTGGCAGGCAGGTGCCTGCGCTTGGCACCAGGATCAGGGCCAAGCTCCATACGAAAAGTCTAAGCATCGCTTGCACTGCTTTCATGCCTTTGGCAGAGAGCAGCTTGAGCCAACATCTTACTACGGCTTAGGGCTTCGGGTTTCATAAAGGGGCCTACACAAGAGCCACATCCTAGCGCTCAGGGGCTCCTTCATACAAACATGCCATCATATCGAGGTATTGAGGTCCGTTATAGAACCCTTCCAATACGCCGACACAACCTTTAAAGGAACCCTTAAAGGACTGTTTGCTGACCCCGTTTAACAAACCCTGAGCCTTAAACCCCTAAACCCTGAGCCCCTAAACCCAAAACCCGGACCGCTAAACCCCTAACCCGGAAACCCTAAACTCCTAAACCACCCCTAACCACATCTTGCATAAACACCCCAACCCCCAAAACCCTAAACCCTGCACCGTAAACCCTAAAGCCCTAAACCCCGGCAAAACCCTAAACCCTAAAACCCTAAACCCCCGGCAAAACCCTGAAACCCTAAAACCCTAAACCCCCGGCAAAACCCTGAAACCCTAAACCCCCGGCAAAACCCTAAACCCTGAAACCCTAAACCCCCGGTAAAACCCGAAACCCTGAAACCCTAAACTTTCGGTAAAACCCCTAAACCCCCTTAAGGGGACCTCCAGGCCCCAAGAGGTCGACGTGTTCGAAGGCCCCCCAAACAGGAGGAGCCTTTCATCCTGCTGAACTCCTCCGAACTTTTTGGGGGAATCTTGACAAAGCGTGCATTATAGGGCTAAAAGTTTAGGGTTTAGGGTTGTATTAACGAGGCAGAGAAAGAAAGAGAGAGACTGTTAAGAGAGCCATAAGTAGGGTTCAGAAGGGTCCCGTTTAAGGGGTCTCCCTAACACTACCTAGGGTAACTTGTACAACGAGGAGCTTTCGTGACTCCTCACTACTCTTGAAAACTATTCTGTGTACTTCGAGGACCCCCGAACTTAGCAAGCAGGGCTACAAGTAAGGCAACTCGAGTCATGATGTTGATGACATAACTCCTGCATTACCCATAATAAGGAATCTACCATAATTCCCATAGTTTAGGGTTCTTAAGGTAATGCAGGATTTATGCCATCAACCGTATCCATTTCTTACCCCGCTTAGGGTACTTCTTATCCTACTTGCGAAAGTCCCCCGAAACTCGAAGCAGGGTTCTCGAGAATTTTGCGTTCGGGTCACGTCAGAAAAGGGGCATCAGCAGTTTGCACTAAACCCTAAACCCTAAACCCTAAACCCCAAACCTTAAACCCTAAACCCTAAACCCCAAACCTTAAACCCTAAACCCTAAACCGTGCTCTCGCCCTTTTTTCCCCCGGCAGAGACGATCTTCGGCTCGAACCCTTGGGTTAAGGGTTCGAGGCTTTGGAGGCTCGGATCTGGGTCCAGGGCTTGGGGGTTTAGGGTTTAGGGTTCAGGGCTTAAGGTTTAAGGTACAGGGTTTAGGGTCTAGGGTTTAGGGTTTAGGGTCCAGGGTTTAGGGTTTGGGGTTTAGGGTTCAGGGTTTAGGGTTTAGGGTCTAAGGCTCAGGGTTCAGAGCCCCTAAACAGTATTCGCGACGCTCCAAAGAGCTTCAGGTCCTACGTCCGAAACAGAGCCTTCGCTCTGCCCTGCGTGAAACGGCGGAAACCGGCGAAAGCCAGTGAAAGCCAGAGTGCCCCATCCCGGGAGGAAGTAGATCTCAAATTGCAGGGTTTAGGGTCTTGAATGGGGAGAGGTGAAGGTTTGGGGTCTTGAGGCTCTGAGGTTAGGGGGGAGGGGGGAGTGCTAGGGTTTTGCTTGTTGAAGTTCCGGCGTTCAAGGTTTCGAGTTTGTCGGGTGTCTGGTTTACGGGTTGCGGTGCAAATCTACCCGGAGATAGGGATCCCTGGCCACAGTTAAAAAGGCCACAGATGCTCCGGCTGCCTGCTCACCGCAAACCCTCAACCTTGAGCCCTGAATCCGAACATTCGGGCCCTAATAACAAGGGCTTAGGGTTTATAGGGTTTAAAGATTCGGGCTTGGGATGCTGTCGCGTAAGTATAGTAGGGTTGATGCAGGAATGCTAATGAGCATTGATTCCTACCTCTTTCGAAGACCCAAGCAGCCAGGAACGTCGGACCTGCCGCCCCCAAAAGGCGGTGTCTTGCAACAAGGGTGTCTCTCGAAATTGGGGGTCCTTGTTAGGGTCGTTTCCATAAGGGTGCCGTACTACTCTGGGGACTTAAACAGGGACCCCAATTTAAAGAACTGCCCGCAAAAGTCATCTCACAGCGACGAGGTTTCAGCCTTGAGGCCGGATATAGTCTCCTCTCAGGGTCGCAACTACAAGAATAACTCGAAACACTAAACCCTCAACAGGAGTGATCTGACTAGCATTATTGATGGTCATGATGGCGGTGGTGATGAACATCATCATCATCATGATGATGATGACGGCGATGGTGATGATGATGCTGACGATGAAGGTGACGATGTTGATGATAACAAAAACAAGCGTGGCAACATCAAAAGGTTGACATGTGGCAGGAGAACATGCATGGGAATGAGAACCAAAATGTCACGGTCACTACACAACAAGGATTCTGTTCAACCCTGGGTCTATATTAGCTGGTCGGCCCACACATACCCTGAAACTCCCACAGACGTGCTATGGCAGGACCCTTCCTGCGAAGCCCCAGGCGGAACTCCTAGAGTTTAGGGTTTAGGGTTCAGGGTGAACCTGAAGAGGACAGGGTTTTGGGGTTTAGGGTTGAAATTTTTACGGTTTAGGGTTCAGGGCTTAAGGTTTAAGGTACAGGGTTTAGGGTTTAGGGTTGAGGGTTGAGGGTTTGGGGTTTAGGGTTGCGGGGCTATCCGAAAGAGTCAACACTGCTCCCCCACCTGCGCAGACGCTGAGTATTATATGAGGTTCGTTCTTAGGGCTCCTTGATAGAAGTATACTTTTTTGGTACCCCAAAGCCCCGTTCTGATCGTTAAGGCCCGATATGTATGTATGTATGTATGTATGTATGTATGTATGTATGTACGCATGCATGTATGCATGTATGCAGGTGCTTACATACATATACATTTACATTTAAATCTACATGTAGCTGCACATGTACATGCGCCAATACATGAGCACATGCATGAACAGATCTGGGAATATGCAGCTATTCAGACACAGATGCAGATAAGTAGACAGAGATAGTTAGATAGGTAGATGGACACACAGATAGATGGATAGATGGGTAGAAGCATGGGTCGGGTAGAGGACCGGATAGTTGGACAGATGGATATATGGACAGGCGGAGGGATAGCTAGATGGACAGAGGATGGAGGGATGGAGGGATGGATGGATAGGTTGATAGATAGACATGTAGCTAAGTAGACACACACACACACACCCCTGACAGGGGGAACAAGCAGCAAAGTGAGGAAAAAAATATTGACAAACAAGAAAAAACCTAAACCGTACGCCCTATAAACACTAAACCCTGAACCCTAAACCCCAAACCCTCCTCCAGGCGTCCCAGGCCCTCACGCAGCGTTCTGAGGATCCTTGGCTTCGGCTTCGGGGCGCCAGCAGAAATACCGGTTTAGGGTTTAGGGTTTAGGGTCCTAAACCCCGCCAAAAAAAACAAGCAAAAACCTTAAACCCCGAAACCCAATGGCTCAACCCTAAACCCGAAACCCTAAACCCGCCCTGAACCATGCTAAACCCTCAATGCCAGGATTAGGGCTGAAAATCTTGGGATCTCGAGCGGGGTGTGGCTCGGAATTTCGCTTTTCAGCCCAGGGTTTCGCGGTTCGTAAACCCTAAACCCTAAACCACTGAGCCCTGGACCCTAAACCCTTATCTCTGAACCCTAAACCCATCCAAACCCTCAACCCTGAACCCTAGTCCGGAGGACATGGCTCCTTGAAAAAGGAGCTCAGAACACAGGCGCGGTTGAAAATCCTGTGTCGGTCCTTCTTGTATAAAAGGATGCCTTACTGCTTTGCCTGCCTGTGATGCGTGGCATTTAGCAGCCCTATGACCCTGCTTGTCTTACTTGTCTAGTATCTTCGGAGAACTGAAGGTTGACTTTCGGGATTTATAGGGGCTATAGTACCCCAAGAAGCTTAAAGTATCTTCCGAATTTCACCTGGGGGCTGCAGGAGTGCAGGGAAATTCCAACATCGCTATGCCTGGCATCGCAGTTGTTCGTGCTATTGCCATGAAGCACAGCAGCCTGTTCAGGATTAACAGGTATTTCTGCTGGAATCTTGTCCAAGAATCTTCATTTGCTGCAGGGAGGAGACAGAAACGTCTCGGAGCAAGATGTCCAGGAGCCCCTCTGCGAACTCTTCACGGGTCACGACGCCGGACTTGTCCACATCCTGACATTACCCTTGCTCCGGGGGGGGGGATTGAGGGTGATGGGGCTTAGTGGGTTTAGGGATTTTAAGGTTTAGGGTTTAGGGTTTATAAGGGGTGGAGCCTTCAGATTTTAAGCCGCCAGCCCTAAAGCTTTGCAAGCCGAGCCACCAAGACATTGAAGAGCTCTGTCATGCTGCTCACGGAAGCCCGATCCAGGATTTGCTCGGGAACATGGCCTGCTTCTTCAAAACGGCGCATCTCGTCGATGGCAAGCTCGCCACTTCCGTCCTCCCCCCGAAAGCCTAAAACCCAAATTGAGCCCTAAATCCTAAACCCCTAAACCCTAAAGACCTACGCGCCTAAAGCCCTAAAGCCCTAGGTCCTCGTCCGCGCGGTCGAAGAGCTCCAAGATCTCCGGGAGCATCTGCTGAGTGTTGGCGCTGCGCATCCTCTCCTGGAAGTTAAACCCAAACTGGCCCAAACGCTTGAGCCAAACCCCGAAACCCTAAAGCCTAAACCTTAAGCCCTCAGGGGCTTTTCGCGGGACAGAGGAGGATGGGAGGCGTGGCCTCAAGAAAACACCATGACATCTTTAGGGTTTAGGGTTCAGGGTTTAGGGTTTAGGATTTAGGGTTTGGGGTTCAGGGTATGCCTCAATACGACAGCAAAGCGATGATGCCAATGACTCGTAGTGCAGTCGACGGGGCCTTACCACGCAACCCTTAAAGGTTTGTACCCGTATAGAACCCTTAAAGGAACTCTCATAGACCCCTTGTGGCACTGCAATTTCACAACATTACCTGGAGGCAGAATGGACGATTTGGGTCACAAACCCCTTCCACAAATCCCAAAGCCCACGTGTCATAAACCAGAAAAGCCTATCCTGCCTCAAGTCCTCTAAGTCCCTATCAGATGCCTGAACCGGCGCTGTAGCGGCTTGAATGTTTGGGCCCAGGTGTCTGTAGCACTTTAGGATTTAGGGCTGGAGTTCTATACCGAAGACAGCTTCGGAAACCCTACCCTAAAGCCTAAAGCCTAAATACTACGATCTATTCAGGCCCCTGCATCATTCCGACCTTCACCACATCACGCCACCAGCCGTTTCAAAGTAGCCCGAATCCCAATGCCCTGCAGAACCCAGGAGGTTCCCGGACAGGAGTCTTGACAGAAAAATGAGTCAGAGTATGGGCTTAGGGCTTTCAGGGGTTAGGGTTTAGGGTTTTTGTTTTTTGACGGCCTTTTTCGTCGCGACGACTTCGAAGGGTTTAGGGTTTAGGGCTTAGGGTTTAGAGTGGAGAGACGCGGATCCGAAAATCCGGTAAACATCCCAATATGAACGACAACGCAAACTTCTTTTAGTATAGGTCTAGCTCTAGCTTCCCCAACTGAAACGCCACGGTCCGGAGCTAGTCCGAACTAGCAGAGAGGGGGAACACATTGTTGAAGAAAACGTGTGAAAACATGAGGTGGAAATGAAGTAAAATTGAAAGAAAATGCAGGAATCCTATGCTGTCGTGTGGTTGCCACATTCCTTTCCATATCCCTGATCCGCAGCGATGTAGGTCTGCACATCTCTTGCAACTGTAACACCAAACCACTTTCGTGTTCATCTCTTCTCCTTTCTTCAAATCTATACAAGCCCTTTATAAATCGTCAATGGGAGAGGGCACCTTCCGCATAGCACCTGCCAGCTCCCCGACTTAGACTCCCAGAGCCCCACCTAGGGGCCTTGAGAGGCAAAAAAGGCGAGGCTTCTGGGGAACTCTAGAGTAGACTCGTATGAGGACTCCCACGACAAGGGCACATTACTACCGACTTCCCCCAAAGATTCCTAAACCCTAAACCCTTACACCGGCTCAGTCCCCCGCCCCGAACCCTGAGTCTCTAAACCTTAAATGCTAAGTTCTCTAGCACACCCTACCCGTAAACCCTAAACCCTAACTCCCTAAACCAAAACCCCCCAAAAAAAGCGCAAAACACCCCAGAGCCCTGCCCTCGCATCTCAAGAGTTGTAGGGCTTTTTGGGTTCAAGGTACCAGATTCCCTAAACCCTAGGCACCAGATTCCCTAACCCCTAAACCCTAAACCCCCCTAACCCCAGGCACCAGATTCATGACGGAGATGGAGACGATGGCGATCAAGGAGGCGAAGTAGAGCATCAGCCAGGGCTGGACCCTGGCCCCGATCTAGAAGTTCCGAAAAGTGTAGGGTTTGGGGTTTAGTTTAGGGTTTAGGGGCCCGGTTTAGGGTTTAGGGTTTAGGGTTTGGGGCTTAGTTTAGGGTTTAGGGGTTTAGGGGTTTAGGGTGGAAGCTCTTCTAGGGAGGGGTTCGGGTCGATAGGCTGAAAAGGATGTGGGTTTAGGGTCGGTGGCTGATGTAATATGCTACTATAACCAACCTTAACTACAACTCTACTATAACACTCCATACTTGTGCTATAACAGATAAGATTATGCTATACTGTAAGTATAAGGAATGAAAGTGCTAGTTAGAACAAGGGTTTGGCGTGGAGCTGCCTGAACGTTCGGAAGGTGAAAGTTTTGAAGCAAGTGTTTCTGCAGAAGCTCCTCAACATGCACCTGGAAACGCCGAAGGCGCCCCAGAAATAACCATGTCTAAAGCAGACATGTCACATATCGACGCAGGTCCACAAGGAATGAGATGTAGTTGAGCATACACACTTGTTGCATCCACGGAAATGGCGGGCCTTTGCGCGTAAGGCCAATTTGCTGAGAAATGTTAGCAAGCAAGCCTACCATGTCGCACAAAAACAGCTGGCGCCACACGGAGCTTTCTCAGCTAAGCACGCTTCAATGCTAAGTGTTTTCAAGATCACCTGGGGCTTAGGTCATGCCCCACTGCGGAACAGATGTCTTCCATCATTCTTTCAGGCCTGTCCCGGGCTTCAGGGGTGTGGTTAGCGGGGCTCAGCGCTTTGGGTTGAAGCCCTAAACCCTACGAGGGTTTTGGGCTGTCGGCTTCGAGTTTCCCACACCTCGCCATGCCCGCAGCCGTGGAACGAAAGTTCCACACCCGGAATCGAGAGCCCTTAACCCTAAACAGCAAACCCTAAATCCTAAGCCCTACCTTAAACCACCATAACCTACTTGTCTGTAGGTGTTTGTTATCAACCCCAGTATTGAGTTTCTAAAGACCCTGCAGACAAGTAAGTTTTTGGTACGAGCATCTGCGGGACCAAACCCTACACCCTGGCCCTAAACCCTAAACCCTAAACCCTAAGCCCTAAACCCTAAACCCTAAGCCCTAAGCCCTAAACCCTATAACCCTTCAACCGTCAGCCCTCAACCCCAAACCCGCGGAGACCTCACCAAGGGGAAGTAGAGAGCCGCGATGGAGTCCAGGGTCACAAACTGGGCTAAGGTGATCATCGTGAAGCCCAGAGAACCTCACAGAAGGAAGGCTTAGGGTTTAGGGATCATCGTGAAGCCCAAGGAACCTCCACAAGGAAGGTTTAGGGTTTAGGGTTTAGGGCTTAGGGTTTAGGATTTAGGGTTTAGGGTTTAGGGTTCAGGCGTTAGGGTTTAGGGTTTAGGGTTTCGGGATCATCGTGAAGCCCAAAGAACCTCCAGAAGGACTCCCTGGTTCTTAGGGAATGGGGGAGCGGGTTATTGGGACGACTATAGGGGGACTTTAAGGGACTATCATCGGGATCCATTCCCGGATTCCCTACTAAGAACCAGAGAGAGGAAGCTCAGGCGGAAAGTTGAGGGGGCTTAGGGGGGTCTGGGGTTTTGGGGGCGTTTTAAGGGTTTAGGGTTTTAGGGTTTAGGGTTTTGGGGCGTTTTGCGGTTTTGGGTTTTCAGGGTTTGGGGTGATGGAGCTGTGAGTTACGATTTCTACGGTTTCCGAGTGTAGGAGGCTCCAAAGCTGTGTACAACTCTGACCGTCAATCGCTTCCGGTACTGCCAGGCTGTCGCCCTAAACTCTAAATCCTCAACCTTAAACCCTAAACCCTAAACATTAAACCCCTAACTCTAAAGCCTCAACCTTTAAACACCCTAAGCCGTTTTCGACTTCAGGGATGTTTTCGGCTCTAGGGCAGGACGGCTGGACGGGTATAGGGCTGAAGCTTAGTGGGGTTGGGGGCTTGGAGATTTGGGTCTACGCGCTGGCTTTGGGGTTTTGGGTTAGAGTCTACTAGTGGGTTTAGGGTGTAGGGTTTAGGGTTTGAGGTTTAGGGTCCTTCAACGGCTGCCTGCACAGGGCGATTTCCGTGCAAACTCGGGAGGGGGGCTGCCTTACGGAGGACCACCAGATTCGGCATGAAAGCTTTGGGGATAAGCTTACCTTCAGCAGGAAGGATTTGGGACTGTCGGCTTCAAAGCGGGTAGGTCTTGGGAGTTCGGGTCCGGGGCTCTTTTTCTTCGGCCATTGTAGGAGTTGATGTGAGGCTTTAGGGTTTAGGGTTTAAGATCCGAACTAGTGAGCCCAGAGACTGAAATTGCTCTCGAGGATCGCGTTAGTCACCGGGTCGCTTTTGAAGCTGTCGCTTGTGGCGATAAGCTCCACGCCCAGGACCCCAAAGACGTAGAGCACCTAAGACGAAGAAGGATAAGGTCTCTGTCTCCGTCTGGGATTTAGATTTCAGAGTAGCCCGGAAAAGAACCCTAATTAGGTCAGCTCTTAAAGATGTAACGCTCATCCAAGCGGATCTCCTTCATTACGTTCTGCTTCCACGCTGCTTCGGTTCCTACTTTCGAAACTTCAGACGCAGACTCAGGTTTCAGGCTTCGAATTTTATGAGAGTATTATGGCAGTTCTAAGGCCCCTACATCATAGCACCCCCTGAAAGAACCCCTGTTAGTAACAAAAAAACTAGAACCCTTCTATAGAACTTCAAAGAACCTTCTGGCAGCCCTAGTCGACTCCTGACATCGAACGCTTCGAAGAAAGGAATGTCAGGCGTTTCATGCTGAGGGCTGAGGAGGCTCACGGCAAAGAAACCGTAACTCCTAAGGTCCTAAACCCCAAAGCCTAAGCCCGAAAGCCCGAAACCCTAGACCCAAAAGCCCTAAAGCCCAGACCTAACTCCTAACTAAACCCTAAACCCCAAAGCCTAAACCCGAAAGCCCGAAACCCTAGACCCAAAAGCCCTAAAGCCCAAGCCCAGACCCGAAGCCGAGGGCCCCACATCCTGCATCTTCAGCATCCTCAAAACCCTAGCCCCGGCGCTTCCAGTACCCTTGCTGGAGCCTGAAAAGTACCCTTCTCGGAACCTCCTAGGAGCCCTCATAGCAAAAACTTGTTAGGGAGCCCCCTAAAAGAACCCCCTCAAAGGAGCCCCCTACCCTAAACCCTAAACCCTAAGCCTCAAAGGAGCCCTACAAAGTAGCTTTTTCAAGGAGCCCTTAAAAGGAACCCCCTCAAGGGAGCCCCCTAAAATTCCCGGAGCGACCAGGCCCAAGAGAAGGAAGGTGGAAAGCACCGTGTCCAGGGAGGTCATCAGCCCATGCACCAGCCGCCACAAAGGCCGTACCTACCGGATCCTAGGGTTTAGGGTTTGGGGTTTTTGTGTTCTTTAGGGGTTTAGGGGTTGAGGAAGTTTAGGGTTTAGGGTTTTTGTTTTTTTCAGGTTTAGGGGTGTAGGGGTTGAGGATTTCATGCTTCGAGCCTTGGGGTTTAGGGTTTAGGGCTTGGCCGTTGAGGGCGTAGGGGGGATGTGGGGCGTCGAGCTCGGGGTCGAAGGGCTTCAAGGGCTTCGTGCAGGAGATTCGGGGTTTAGGGTTTAGGGTTTAGGGTTTAGGGTTTGGGTGTTCGTGGCCGCTCGGCGTCCGTCCTCCTCAACACTTCCCACACTTTCCGCAGAGATGCAACCATTGTGGTTTTTTTGGGAACAGGGATCCCCGAAGATGATTGCCGGCTGTATTCTCATGCTGCCACTGTAGCAAAATTCTTCATCAGGAGACATGTCCGGATGATGAAAAGCTTGGCATAACCCGGTTTGGCGCATGTAGCCCTGTCAAGCAACAAGTCCCACGTAAACCAAACCTCAACGTGCCATGCCAAAGAAGCGAGCACTCGCTCCAGATATGGCAATGACACATGCACACAGACCAAAGAGCGTACGGCGACGGCCTAAAGCAACATGCAAGAAGACAGCGACAGTAACCAGAAGAGCAGTGATAGTAAGGTAGTGCAATAACAGAATGAGCAGGCATTGCGTTTATTGTGCTAGAGACCATCGCACAATCTCGACATGTGTTGAACATTTTCGCCTTTCCCCACGGCCAAGGCAGCAGTGCCTGTTTCACCATGCGGAAGGTGCGCACCAAACGGAACCTAGGTTCTTGTTCGAGATGTTAAGTTACTGTAATAACAATAGAGACGTTAAGCTACCGCAATAACAATAGAGACGTTAAGTTACCGTAGTAACACCAGCGGTAGTATGTAGATGATGCATGTGTGTGTATATATATATAGATAGATAGATATGGCAAACTGATTTTTCGTACTGTGGCAACTTACACTGAGTTCCTTCAAACTCTAAAGACCATACAGAGTCCTTCTGAATTTTTTTGTGGTAACCCAAAAAAATTCCTCAGCAAGAGCCCAGGAACAAGCGCAAAAGTCGGAGGAGCATCAGTTGCTCTGCCGACTCACCAGAGATGAGCTCAATGATCCGCTCCAGGTAAGAGCTCAGAACCAGAATAGCATCAAAAGCAAACCATCCATCACAGGGAGTGCCGGACCTGCTATTGGTGGTCTGTGGAATGTTCTTCCTAGGCTTTTTTTGTGTGCTGCTAGGGGTGGCAGGGCTGCAGCCGAGGGTTGCTTTGGTGCTGCCTCAGTCTAAGAAAAGCTAAGGGATCGATGAAACTGCGACTCCACCGTAGTCATTAGAAGTTGTAGTTGAAGTTGTAGCTGTAGTAGTAGTAGTGGTGGTCGTCGTAGCCGTCGTAGTAGTAGTAGTAGTAGGAGGAGCAGCAGCAGCAGCAGCAGCAGTAGTAGTAGTGGCAGCAGCAGCAGCAGCAGCAGTAGTAGTAGTAGTAGAAGTAGAAGTAGAAGCAAGTAGAAGTAGTAGCAGTAGTAGCAGTAGTAGCAGTAGTAGCAGTAGTAGCAGTAGTAGCAGTAGTAGCAGTAGTAGTAGTAGTAGTAGTAGTAGGAGTAGGAGTACAGATCCCCGTAACAATCTGCATGTTCAGACCCCTGCAACCTGAAACACGAAAGCATGACAGCATAAATCCTACGACCCTCAAAACCCCCAAATTGCAGGAACCAGCCAACCATGGAGGGACGGTTTTGGAATTAGGGTTTAGGGTATAGTGTTTAGTTTAGGGTTTAGGGTTGAGGCTTTAGGGACGGTTTAGGGGTTAGGGCCTAATAGCACTTTCTTCCTTCGACTCCCACCGTGAAGCCCGCCGCTGCTACGCTTTAGTGGCCTCCTGGCTGCTAGGCGCGCGAGGATTTCCAGACCTCGTCTTTATCCCTTTCTGCAGGAAGGTTTGGCGAGGCTTTTTAGGGATCTGTGTTCGGATGCAGGGGCTTGCTTTTTAATAGCAGCAGTTCTGTAAACGATTTGAGATTTGAGGTTCGCGGCTGCTGGTTGACCTGTGGCTCCGGGTTGAAGATAAGCTGGATACGCAGACGAAAGTCTCCAACACCTTGGACCTAAACCCTGAAAGCGCTGGGAAAAAAATCATTCCCAACCGCGAGACTCCAAATCCATGCAGACCCCTGATTCATCACCCCTCTCCCCTTGATGCAGAGGGATATATATATATATATATATATTTTACATTATATAGGTAGTTCTCTAAATGAGGGTCCCCTTTTCGGTCCCCAATATAGTACGGCACCCTTATAAAAAGGACCCGGAAATGTACCCTAATTTCGAAAACTAATATGTTCAGAACCAGGAGGCTGTACACCGCAAGGAAGAAGTTCTCTGCCAGCGGCGCCCACTCCAGGGCCTGCAGAGCATCCGGAAGCACTCGTCTGCTTCTTGATGTCACCCTAAACCCCGAACACTAAAACCCTAAACCCTAAAACCCTAAACCCTCAACCCTAAAACCCTAAACCCTCAACCCCAAAATCCCTAAAAACCCTAAACCCTAAACCGTTATGTTCGTTTCTTTTCAGATGAGGATCAGGGTCCCAGGGTCTCGGTGGCTTCGAGTCTTGGGCCCTCTAAGCTTTGCCGGACCGGGGTTTCGGATTTTGGGGGCAGCAAAGGGTGCAGGTTTAGGGTTTAAGGGTTTAG